CCCCAAAACCCCAAAACCCCAAAACCCCATGATCTCACATTATTTGAATTAGTTCTTGTTATAAAACTTGGTAAGAAATATAAGTTTTAGTAAGATTATATTGTTTAATTTGAGATAAAAGAACAAACAAGCCAATAATATATTGCAGTTCACTAAGTAGTAGAATTGCATTCATGTGCAAATGTCTCAGTGATAAACAAAGATGATTGGTGCTTAGTTCTTATCTCAATTATTTAATTCTCAGGCTTTATATATTTTATGAAAGCTCAAGAATCATCTTAAAATACTTTAATGACTTCAAGGTACTATTTCAACTTTGCATAATGGGCATTGCAATTTTTACTTGAGCCATTGATTAATGCATTTGGAGTGGAAAATGTGCATACAAGGAAGGCCTTTTACCATTTGACCTTTCTTTAACAAATCATAGCAGATGGCACAGTTATCTGCATCTTTCCCTGTATTGTCAAATACAAAGTCAGTAAAAGAATTTATTGTTTATTGGATTTATTGTTCTGTATACTTTGGTTCCTCATCTTCATATTCACCTGGTTCATATTCCAACCCTTCATCATCTCCTTCCTCATCATATTCTTAGTCATCATCATTATTACCATTATTATTAGCATCATTCTCATCAACCATATCTTCATCTTCTTCTTATTATTCTATCCCTTCGTATTCATCAGAATCAGAGTCACTGCTGGTATTGTTATAAAACTCAGAAGCGAAATTATAATTCCCTCCACCAGAGCGGAAATTTACTGTAGGGTTGTTCAAGATATTAATATTAATGGTATTGAACGTTCCTGGGGCATTACTGAAATTACTCATAGTTTTGGCAGTGAAACTTTAAATTGGATTTTAATGACCGAAATTCGATAGAACTCCACCAAGTTATTTGTACATTTCCCTAGAAAAAATCAAATTATCATAATTTACTGAATGTTTTAAGCTATTTGTTCCTGTGATGCAAAATTCTATCTGAAGTCATTGTTATTTTACTATTGCTACTAAAAAAATTATTACTGTTGATAATTTTAACCCATATTATTTTAATGCTAACTATATTGAAAATTGCGATGGACATTTTAGGTAGGCTATTATCTATGCTATCTGTGATTTGTGTGATTATTCTGATGCTATTCTTCATTAATCTAATTTTCATCAGTTTAATCTTCATCATCATCGTTTTATTATTCATTTACATCATTCTCTTAAAATTTTGGATTCTACTAAGGAAGATTTTAGTTATCCTTATTTACACCTCTATCAAACCTAACCTGTTATTCTTCTTTGCTAAAAGGTCTTTGATCACTAGGATTCTAGTCTTAATTCTTATTATTTGTATTTTAATTTTTGGGATGTATACTTCCATCATGATCAGCTTCATCCTTCCAATTAGGATTTCTTTGTTTCTTACGTTGCTCATGTTCCTGTCTTAGCTACTATTGAAGTAAATTCAATTGCCTTTATTCATTCACATTGTGAGATTAATTTTTAGCAAATTATTGCTATTCTTAGTTCATTTGATTATGACGAGGCTATTCATATGATTTAAATTCTTCTTGCTGTTATTATTATTATTACCTTTTGATCTCTTCTTATTATTATCTTTTGATTTCTTCTCTTTATTACCTTTTCAACTCTTCTCTTTATTATCTTTTAACTTCTTCCTATTATAGCCTCTTAATTTATTCTTATCTATTAACTTCTGCATAGTCTTATTGATTTTGATTAGATTAATTTTGAGCTTTTTGTCTTTGCTATTGTTGCATAAATTGATTTTATTAGTTTCTAATTTAAGCATCAGGATCTACCTCTTCTTTTCTTTAATGTATATTTTAGTTTTAGTTTGCGGTCCAATTTTATGGTGCACCTCGAAAATCAAAGTTAAATGTTGGCATAAAGTTAGAAAAAACATTTTGATTTGGATTCATTCCTTAGATTTCTTAAAAGGGTTGATTTTTATAAGTAATGCAGCCAGGGTATTAATTATTAACTCCTCTATTGACAACATTATCGACCTTTAAATTTTTGAGGAAATTATTGCAGCCTTTGACAGTTAGATTCTTTATTTGCAAGTTTTTAATAACATTGTTATGACCTTGAATTATCATATTCTTTATTATGGTCATTCCACTCCTACCCTCGAGTTCAGTTATTGAGTACTGACCAGATATAGAGTTGTTATGCGAAAAGATGTTCATAGTGCCTACATTGTTTACAATAGTAATTTTGCAGTTGTGACCAGTCATTTCAACTTCTTCTATAACTCCTCTTAAGCAAGTCTAATCATTATGGGTCTCTAATCTCAGCATTATTTATAAATTTATTTAAATTCTGACAATAAATTGATTAATAATTAATTTTAGATTCTATTTCTTTTCTCCTTTAAGTTTTCAATATTTCTATTATGGGGTTTTGGGGTTTTGGGGTTTTGGGG